GCTACCCTCCCACTCCTTGACAGAGAGGGAATGGAATCATCTGCAGAATGAGACAAACCTTTGCCAACAGGGCCAATAGGGGATCTGTTCTGCTTGACTGTGTGCATTTGTACAAGGGTTTTGTTATTCCTTTTTTTTTTCTTCAGTAGGAGTTGGGTAGAACAGAAGGAAGAAAAAGTAAATGCTTGTTAAATGTTTAAAAATATAATTTTAAAAGCTATCTTAAAGGATTTTATAAGCAAAATCCCCCGGAAGAGCTGTGTGTTTGTCAGTCATTAACGCTGGGCGGTAACTGACTCGAGGAAAGAAGATTCGGGCTCAGGTGCTGAGTCAGTTGTTTTAGGCACAGGGGTAGAATTTCAGAAAGGAAATCGGTCCTCTTCAAAAACGAAGACAAACAGCAACCACCACAACTGCAGCTGCATTCCGAGGTGCTGTGCCAAGCCCTTGTGGCACAGATGCGAAAGCAAGACTGTTCCTGTCCTCAAAGAGCTTACAACCCGCATGTAGTCTGGTGAGCAAATACAGAATCTACAGAAAAGGAGTACAGCGTGATTTGTGGGGGAAGGGGGGATCGTCGACACCTGGGGGCATCTGGAGTGGCCTCTTGAAGCCAGTGGCCCTCAGGCTGAGCCTGGAAGGGAATTAGGGGGTTCAGGAGGCACAGATGAGGAGCAACAGTATTCCAAGCATGTGGACCAACCCAGAGACCAAGGCCTGGAGTCTGCCAAAATGGGGCTAAAATTAAGAATAGCCCAGGAGACCCAGCAATACCATTACTAGCTCTGTATCCCAAAGAGATCACAAAAACGGGAAAAGGACCCACATGTATGAAAATATTTATAGCATTGAAAAGCCTCCTCACCTCGACATTCCCTCCACCTTGGACTTCTTACACTGGAAGCACCCTCTGCTCTGTGGATGTTTTCTCTGATTGGCTGCTTCCTCCCTTTTAAGAAAAGGTCCCAGGCAGCCATGTTTTCATTGCCCTCCAAGTGCCACTCTCCCCACTTTTCTCTTTGTTCTTCAGTCCTTTCCGACTCTTTGTGACCCCGTTTGAGGTTTTCTCAGCAGAGATGCTGGAGTAGTTTGCCATTTCTTTCTCCAGCTCATTTGACAGATGAGGAAACTGAGGCAAACAGGAGGAAGTGACTTGCCCCCAGCTAGTAAAGTCCGAAGCTGAATTTGAACTTGGGTCCTCTTGACTCTAGACCCAGCACTCTCGTTACTGTGACCCCTAGCTTTGCCCACTCCTTTTCAACTCCCTTTCATGTGTTGTCTTCCAGCCATTGGAATGTAAACTCCTTGAGGGCAAGGTCTGTCTTAGTGCTTACCATGGCCCAGTACACTGCTGCTGCTGTTCAGTTGCTCCGACTCTTCCTGAGCCTGCTTTCTTGGCAAAGGTACTAGAGTGCTTTGCCATTTCTTCCTCAATGGATTAAGGCAGAGTTTGAGTGACTTACCCAGGATCATACAGCTAGTAAGTGTCTAAGACCAGATTGGAACTCGGGTCTTCCTGACTCCAGGCCCAGAGCTCTACCCACTGCACCACCCAGCTGCCTCCTGCTTGGCACATAGTAGGTGCATGATAAGAGCCTGACTAGGATAGAAGATCTAGACGTGGAAGGGAATCTCAAGGAAGGGTCTCTAGAGCTGGATTGCCTCAGAGACTCTCTAGTCTAATCCTCTTATTTAATAAATGAGGAAATGGGGGCCCAGAGAAGGGAATTAATTTGCCCAAAGTCACATAGGTAGCAAATGACAAAGGCAGGATTTGAATTCAGGACTCCTGACTCCAAACCCAGTGCTTTTCTCCACTCAAAGATGTTTTGAGAGAATCCTAAAGAGAGAAAAGTCACTTCAAAGGGCAGAGAGTAAGTGGCTGAATCAGGGAAGGCTTCTTAGAGGAGGCAGTAAGAGCACCAGAGCTGGGCCCTAAGAGCATTTTCAGTAGATGCCTTAGGTCTTTTGTGAGGGCAGAGCAGGTTCTTTTATTGTGCCTCCCTTGAGTAGGGAATTTGGTTTTTAAATGAAATCAGAGCAAAAGAATGGCATGCTTTGCCAGGGCTGGCATTTTACAGGTGGGTAATGGAGTTGAAGAACAGCCACTGGGTCCCCAGGGTTGGAATATTGTGTCCAGTTGCTCTCCCTCCGAAATCCTTCTGCTATGGCCCCAGGCACATGGTCTGGCCCTAGTTCATTCCTGGGGAGAGCCTAGCCTGTGATGAGAATGGGACTATATTCTTTTCTTATACTTTTTGGTTCATCAGACCCCAACCATGGTGCCCCAAGGGCACATTTCTTAGAGCTTAGGTTTAGGCTGATCTCTAGGTTTCCATAGGAGGGAGAGAGAAACAGATGAACAACACACAATGTGAATCAGGTATGGGACAACTATTTATTTTCTACATACTCCAAAGGAACACTAAACATAGCATACACACAAACATATACTTGATGAAACAAATTTAAAATAGCATTCAGTAAATTAACTTGTAACTACTGTCACAATCTGCTCAGAGTCTGATACTTTTCCGGAATCCCCAGAATTTTCCAGGGGAGCTCTGGGAACAAACTCCCTAGGATGGCCACCATAGACCAATTCATTCTCTCTACTGAAACAGGATCTAGAGTTCGAAGGGACCTTAAGACCCTCCTTTGACAAAGGAAGGACCTGAGCCCCAGAGGTAGGAAGAGACTTGCCTAAAGTCACATGAACAGGAAGAAGGAAAGCCAAGAGATTAGCCTAACACTTCAGGTACTAGGTGAGTGGAAAGAGACATACTTCAAGTCAGAGGACCTGGGCTCTGACACTGACTGGCTGGGAAACTTTGGGAAAGTCCCTTTTTCTCTGGGCCCAGCTTCCTCATCCAGAAAACGAAGTGCTTGGACTAGATCGATTGGCCAACAAGCATTTACTGAGCCCCTTCTAGGGGCCAGACACTGCTGGGCACCTGCCATACAAAGACAGAAAGAGACTTACAGCCTATTGCCAAAATCACACACATACATACAAATACAAAATAACAAATGAATACTTTTTTTTAACCAGTCCTGTGATTTCTGGGTGCCAGAGCCTCTCTACCAATGCAGAACAGCACCTTTTATGTAATTGATAGTCTTATAGAGTTGCCTGGAGGCATGGAGTTGTGACTTGCCTACGGTCACACAGCCAGGATGTCAAAGGCTGGACTAGAACCCAGGTCTTCCTCACTTTGAGGTCACCTCTCTCTAAGTATCACATTGCCTCGTTACAGATACAAAGTGTGTATGTGTGTGTATATCATGTATATCTATATAGAACACATATACGGCTACATGTGTAGCAATACCACTATTCCTACTACTCCTACTACTACCTAGCTAGCATTTTAAGATTTTGCAAAGTACTTGACAAGTCTTTTCATTTGATCCTCACAACAACCCTGTGAGCTAGGTACTATCTCTATTTTATAGACAAGGAAACAGAGGCTGGGAAAAGTTAAATGATTTACCCAAGATCATACAGTTGATGATTGTCTGAGACAGAATTTGAACCCAGGGCTTCCTGGCTCTAAATCTAGTCTGCCTCCTAGCCACCAAGGTAAGCACTAAATAATTGGGAGAGAAAGGAGCAGTATTCATGGAACCTTGAAGGGAGATGGAGATTCCAAGATGTGGATGTTAGGAAGTGAATGGACATGCCAAGCATGAGGCACAGCCAGTGCAAAGACAAGGAGGCCAGAGATGATATAGCATGTAATCAGCATTTATCCTGCAGAAGACCCCTCAGGTAGGCCACTTTGGCTGGAAACTTAGGCAGGTAAAGGACAAGTCATGGGTGACCAGCCTGGAAAGGCAACCAGCTAACTTTATTTACAAGCTGGAGCCAGGTTTGTATCCTACCTTCAAGGCTTCCCCCTCTGGAGAGAGCCAAGGGGCTCCTTGATCTCCCAGAGGAGGAGCTCGGAGGCCCCCTGCAACCCTGAGCCGTGATCCGGAAGTCCCTGCCCACTGCACCACACTGCCCCCCGCTGAGCTGAAGCTCCAGGCAGCATCTGGCCCTTCTCCTCTCCAGGAACACTGGGGGGGGGGGGGCGGAGTAGGACCAGGTGGGTAAAGACCCCTGCACTCCAAGCCCAGCTCGGCCCAGCCTGGTCCTCCTGAGCTCTGACTGAGGCTTTCAGAGTGAATGACGCAGGACCAGGTGCACAGAAGCCTGAAGCTCCAGTGCAATTTCAGAAGCAGCTCACACCTCTTTGCTCAGTGCTTAGCATAGTGCCTGTCACATAGTAGGCACTTCAGAAATGTTTGTTGATTGGCTGAAAGTCCAACTTCCTCATTTTACAAATGAGGAAACAGCTTGAGAGATGTTAAATGAGTTGCCCAGGGTCACCCAGCCAGTTAGTGTCTGAGGCAGGATTCAAATCCAGAACTTCCTGGCTCCACTGTGCCAAGCTGCTGGTTTGTCTCTAACCCTTCCTTCCCCCCCCCCCCAGGATTTTATAGGATGTCTCTGGACATCAGACACATCCAGGCTTCTTTCTAACCCATCCCCCTTTCCCACAGCAGAGAGCCAGAGACACACCTGTACAGATCCCTTAATCCCTGTTCCCTCCAGCTCCAACCCTCAGGAATGTCCTTGGCCCAGACCTCTAGTCATGCCTGGAGCAACTCTTGTAATCTGAAGGTGAGGTCATCCAAACCGCTGAGAGAGAGGGGAGTGAGGGGGCAGGGAAAGGGAAAGCAGCGTGTGTGTGTGTGTGTGTGTGTGTGTGTGTGTGTGTGTGTGTGTGTGCGTGTGCTGTGTGTCTATATGTGCATGTGCATGGGAATGTGTGTACATGTGCTCTGGTGTGTCTGTGTGTGTCTTTGTGTACAGGTATAGAGGTGTGAGGCGTGTGTTGTGTACATGTGTGTTTATATGTGTGGCATGTACATATGTATTGTGTGCATGTGTGTTTACGTATGTGTGTGTTGAGGGAGAAAGGGAAGAAAAGTCACAAAGGTATCGAGGCTACTCCTGGTTCAAGTCCATTTAATTAGCATTTATTAAATACCTACGATGTGCCAAGACACTGGAAGGATGTGCTTAGCACTGGGGATGCTTAGACAGAAACGGAATCCCGTATCGCCCCTGCCACCAAGGCATTTACAATTCGGGTGGGGACGGCGGGGAGATGACATGTACAAAAAATCCACCCGGTGTTTATTAACCACCGATGATGTGCCATGCACGGTGCTAGGCACTGAGGATCCAAGACCACAACCACGGCTTTGGTTTTCACGGTTCTCCTGGGACGCGTACCAGGCTAGTAGTCAAGTACAAGTGAGACACCAAATACATACCAAGTGACCGGAGGAGGGGAACATTAACAAGGAGGGCGTCAGGAAGGGCCTGCTGCCGAGCCAGAGATGCTGGCAGGCACAGCGGATGCAAAGGCACAGAGCTGGGAGATAAATAACAGGCTGGGGAGCAGCAACGAGGACAGTAGGACTGGAATGCATGTATACGAAAGGGAGGAATGTGTAGCCTAGAAAGAGAGGCTGTGGCCATGTTGTGAAGCACTCTAAGCCCCTGGCAAAGAGTTTATTTGATCCAAGAGGTGATGGGGAGCCAGTGAAGCTTCTTACTTGGAGGAATGTCACTGTCAAGCTTGCATTTTATCTGAGCTAGGACAGACCTCCCCCAATCACACAAGGCTGCCTTTCCAAAGCATTTTCCCGTGCCCATTTGCCCATTTCACAGATGAGGAAATAGAGGCCAGGAAAGCCAGATAGTTTGCCCAAGGTCACACAGTAAGCTGGTGATAAGACTAGAACCTGGGTCTCCTGAATCCCAGCCACAGGGCTCTGAGGGCAAGGTGGGGTGCATGCTGGATGGTAAGGCAGGAAACACCAGCAGAGCATGTGGTCTTCTAAGACCAGCCACTCCCTCTCCATCCCACTGCAGGGACCATGATTCAAGAAGCTACGGCAGCTCTCATGTGTACATTCGCTAAGCCACAGATGCCTGTGTTGAGTCTTGGAGCTTGTAGGACCTGGGCAAAGCGAAGATGCTTTTGGCGGATGCCTCCTGGAATTCCTTGGCCACAAAATAGTAGCAGATCGCATCCAGGCAACAGTTGGCATTGGACAAACGTGAGGTTATAAAAATGACATTCTTCCACATGGTTATGCTGGAGCAGGTCCTGGGTTCCACAATGCGCCGGATATTCAAGGCCACATGTATGGGCAGGAAGCAGACCAGGAAGATGAGCAGGTTGGCGCTGATGATCCAGATGGCTTTCTGGATGACTTTCTTCTCCTGGGCATCCGTCTTCTTCTTCCTCACCAGGCTCACAATCACCTGGATTGAACAGAAGGTCAGGATAATCAAAGGGATGAAGAAGCCAAGGATGGAGAAGATGAATGTCTTTGATCCATAGATATTCTCATTGGAAAAGCAGAAGCCACCATCTTTGACTTGCCAGGCCAGGCGGCTGGCTATGGAGATGATGACCAAAACCCAGAGCACAGCACAGATGATGGCAGAACAGCCGGGGGACCGCAGCCTCTTGGCCAGCATCGGGAACCTGATGGCCACATAGCGATCCACAGCAATCATGGCGATGATGCTGATGCTCATGTAGCTGTTCACCAGGTAGATGCTCTGGGAGATCTGGCACAGCACGGTGTCCTCTTGCCTGCTGTACTTTAGGGAGTAGAGCATGAGGGGCAGGACGCAGAGCAGGCAGAAGTCTGCCACGGCCAGGTTGGTCATGTAGATGACCGTCTCCATCCACTTCTTTCTCATGCGACAGCAGAACACCCACAAGGCCAAGGCATTGAACACAATGCCCAGGACCAGCAAAATGCTGATGTACACTTTCATGGCCAAGTCCTGGAGCTGGCTTTCGTCCTCATAGGTACAGTTCCCGGTGTCGTTCATCCCAGGCTGTTTCTGTGGGGAAGAGTAATTCAGTCAACACTCCGTGAAGAAGGGGTCATACCCTTATTGCTCAAACTTATTTGTTCCTGAGACTTTTTCACCCCCAGTTCCAGCCCCTCCTGCCTCCCCCTTCCTCATTCAGGTCATTGGCCTCAGAGAAGGGGGATATACCTTCATGACTCACCTGACTCCAATCCAATTGGCTTCAATAATTTCATTTACCTTAATTGACTTCAATCAATCAGTCAAGTGAGTGATTGATGAGGGATTGCTGTGTGCCAGGCACTTTGTTGCTTACCAGAAGCAAATTGGAGCTATCTCAGAGGGAAAGCAAAGGGGGGAGATCAGGAAGGAGAGTATAGGGAGGAATCTGGGCAAAGGCGTGGAAATGGGATATTATGTTTGAGTAGCATCAAGGGGACTCATTTAGCTGGAGTTTAGTGTGTGAGGGGGAATTGTGCACAGCTGTCTTGGAAAGGTTGGTAAGAGCCAAATTGTGAAAGGCTTTCAATGCCAATCAGAACAGTCCACTAGAGTGTAGACGAGAGTCAATGGGGAGCCCCTGAGTCTTCTTTGGCAGAGGAGTGACCAGGTCAGAGCTATATTCAGTAATATCACTTGGATAGCCATGCGGAGGGAGGGGCAAGTCCCTTCAGGGGAAAAATAGACATTCAGTGAAACAGAAGATTGTCAAGTTTTCTTGATGAAAAGACTAGAGCTGAATAGAAAATCTGACTTTCAAATACGAGACTCAAAAGAAGCACAAAAAGGTAAACAGGAAAGGGAAATCATAAGGGACTTAATGAGGTTAAAGTGTTTACATTCCTACATGAGAAGATACTTGTAATTCATTAAAAAAAAATTCTCATTATTACAGCAGTTGGACAAAGTGTATACAGACAGAGGGCACAAGTGTGAGTTGAATATGAAGGGATGATATCTAAAAAAGAAAATTAAGGTGTGAGAGAGGGAAAGGGACAGGTAGCATGGGGTGAATTATCTCACATAAAAGAGGCAAGAAAAAGCTTTTACACTGAAGGGGATAGAAGGGAGGGGAGGGGGAGTGAGTGAACCTTACTCTCATCAGAACTGGCTCAAAGAGGGAATAACAGACACACTCAGTTAGGTATAGAAATCTATCTTAGCCTACAGGAAAGTAGGAGAAGAGGACAAGAGAAGGGGTGATAGAAGGGAGGGCAGATTGGGGGAGGGGTAGTCAAAAGCAAAATACTTTTGAGAAGGGAGCGACAGGGTGAAAGGAGAGAGAGAATAGAATAATATGGGGAGGGGAATAGGATGGAGAGAAATACAGTTAGCAATAGTAATTGTGAAAAGAATTTTGAAGGAAGTTTCTCTGATAAAGGCTTTATTTCTCAAATATGTAGAGAACTGATTCAAATTAAAAAAAATAAGAGCCATTCCCCCAATTTATAAATGATCAAAAGATATGAAGTCATTTTTTCAGATAAAGTAATCAAAGCTATCTATAGCCATGTGGAAAAAACTGCTCTAACTCACCATGGATTGGAGAAATGCAAATTAAAACAATTCTGAGGTACTACCTCATACCTATTAGATTGGCTAATAGGACAAAAAAGGAAAATGACAAATGGAGGAGAGCATATGGGAAAAATGAGACATGAATACACTATTGGTGGAGTTGTGAACTGATTCAACCATTCTGTAGAGTAATTTGGAACTATGCCCAAAGGCCTATAAAACCATGCATACCCTTTGACCCAGCAATACCACTGCTAGGTCTGTATCTCAAAAGAGATTAAAAAAAAAAAAAGGAAAAAAGAAAAGGACATGTATGTACAAAAATATTTGTAACAGCTCTTCTCTGGTGGCAAAGAATTGAAAATTGAGGGGATGCCCATGAATTGGGGAATGGCTAAACAAATTGTAGTATGTAATTATGATGAAATACTATTGTGTTATAAAAAACGACGAGCAGGATGCTCTCAGAAAAATCTGGAAAGACTTAGAGGAGCTGATGCAAAGTGAAATGTACTGTATACAAAGTAACAGCAATATTGTAAGATGACCAGCTGTGAATGACTTAGTTATTCTCAGCAATGCAATGATCCAAGACACCTCTGAAGGACTTATGATGAAAATTGCTATCCATTCCCAGAGAAAAAACTGATAGTGTCTGAATACAGATAAAGCATAATTTTTTTATTTTTCTTGAGATTTTTTTGGCCTATGTTTTCTTTCACGATATGACTAATATGGGAATGTTTTGCATGATTACACATGTATAATCTATATCAAATTATGTGCCTTCTCAATGAGGGAATGGGGAAAGAGGAAGGGAGAGAATTTCGAACTCAAAGTTTTAAAAGTTAAAAATTGTTTTTACATGTAATTGGGGGAAAATAAAATACTAAATAAAATTTTAAAAAAGAATGATGGCTCCTAGGCACATTTGTGGGCAGCAGGGCAAGGAGAGCAAAGAGCAATTGAAAATTAGGGAGAGAGAGGAGGGATAATCATAAGGGTGGGCTCATGGAAGAGACAGGAGGGGAGAGGATCAAGAAGACATGGAGAGGTATTGGCCAAAGAGACACCTCATCCTCCAAAGCTGGGCAAAGGAAGACAGAATAGAGAATATCGTCGCATTGACATTGACATGGAGCTACAAAATCACAGAGTTTAGAGTTGGAAGGGACCTTGGCAGCCATCTTGTCCAACCCATTGACCAAAGGAATCCCGACTCTAATATCCCTGAGGAGTAGTCTTACTCGAGGTAAGGGGCACTCCCACCTTCCCAGGCAGCGCCTTCCCCTTCAGGACAGCTCTAACACGATGTAGGATTTTTGCTCATATTCAGTCTAAATTGTCTTCTTTGTAACTCCTTCCCCCTCCTCCCCACTACTGCTTCTGCCTCATGGGGCGGAGCACTACAAGTCAGGGCCTTCTACAATCCTTGTCTCCTGAGAGGTGATGAGCTCAAGGTGCTGAAAGAGAAACAGACAGATGGAGAGGGGGGCGGAGGGAGAGAGAGACAGAGACAGATACAGAGACAGAGGGAGAGAAGGAGAGAGAGAGTGAGAGAGAGACAGAGGGAGAGAAGGAGAGAGAGAGACAGAGAGAGAGAGAGAGACAGAGGGAGAGAAGGAGAGAGAGAGACAGAGAGAGAGAAGGAGAGAGAGAGAGACAGAGGGAGAGAAGGAGAGAGAGAGAGACAGAGAAATAGAGACAGAGAGAGAAAGAGAGAGAGAAAGAGGGAGAGGAGAGAGAGAGAGACAGAGAGAGAGAGAGAGAGAGAGAGAGAGAGACAGAGACAGAGAGACAGAGGGAGAGAAGGAGAGAGAGAGAGACAGAGAAATAGAGACAGAGAGAGAAAGAGAGAGAGAAAGAGGGAGAGGAGAGAGAGAGAGACAGAGAGAGAGAGAGAGAGAGAGAGAGAGAGAGAGAGAGAGACAGAGACAGAGAGACAGAGAGAGAGAAGGAGAGAGAGAGACAGAGAGAGAGAGAGAGAAAATGAGAATTTTTGGATACAGCTGATGTGGGAATTTGTCTTGCTTGATTACATTTGTTATAAGGGTTCTGTTAAGGAGAAGGAGATGGGAAAGAGAAGTGGGGTAGCAATAGGATGGTATGCCCTATCCCCAAAAAAGAAAGAAAGCAAAGAACAAAAAGAGAGTCATTGAAGGATTTTTTTAAAAAGCCAGAAAGAATCCTAGACAAGCAGATAGTTATCTGTTGAATTAGAGTTCCATGTTTGATTGTTGAGTTTAAATGTCCAGTTTCGTATAGACTTGAAAGGAAAAGGAGACAGGGCATTAGAGAGATTTGCAAGGCGACATACAATCCTCTTTTTTCTGTTCTACTTTATATATAAAAATGCTCGTTTTGCTTAATGTTTGTTAAATTCAGAATAAAAAAATTAAAGAGATTGATGATTTAAGGATATGAACAAAGTTCTCAAAAGAGTAGTAGACTATGAACGACCATATGAAAGAATCCTCCAAATCACTAGTAAGAGAAATGAAAATCAAAACAATCCTGAGGCCTCACTCCAACCCAGTAAATAGGAAAATGTGACAGGAATTTGGAATTATGCAAATAAAGTCATCAAAAGGTCCATACCCTTTGACCCAGACATTCTATCCACTGCTAAGCATGTGTGTGTGTGTGTGTGTGTATACACGTACGTACATATCAACGAGGTCATGGACAAAAGGAAAAGTTCCATATACACCAAAATCTTTATAGCAGTACTATTTGTGGTAGCAAAGAACTGGAAACAAAGTCACTGCCCATCAATTGGGGAATGACCACGCAAAATGAATGTAAAGGAATATCACTGTGCTTGAGCAAGCTAGGTGGCGCCATAGTGCATAGAGCACTGGGCCTGGAGTCAAGAAGACTCATCTTCCCAAGTTCAAATCCTGCCTCATACATTTATTTAACTAGCTATGTGATCCTGGGCAAGTCACTTCACCCTGTTTGCCTCAGTTTTCTCATCTGCCAAATGATCTGGAGAAGGAAATGGTAAAAGGCTCCAGTAGCTTTGCTGGAAAATCTCTAAAGGGTCATGAAGAGTTGGACATGATTGAAAAAAGACTCACTAACAACAGAAAAATGCCCAGTATGATGAAAGGTCCACAGAAACTGACACCAAGTGAAGTGAGTAGAGCCAAGAAAATAATCGACACAATGACTAGAACAATGGAAATGGAACAACCACAAAACAACGAAAGATGAATGTTGTTTGATTACAGCACAGTTCTAACCCCCTCCCCCCAAACAAAGGTATGACGGAACACCTCCCCCACCCTTGGCAGAAGTGGGGGTGGGGCCACGGAGGTGGAACATTGCATGCTTTGTCAGATTTTTAATGTATTAATTATCAATAATGATCATTATTAATAAATTATTAATTTTATGTCTTGGTTACTTATTAGTGTGTTAATCTTTTTTTCTTCATTTTTCTTTTTTTTAAAAATAATTTGATCTAGGGAATGGCTTTCAGTGAGGGGAAAAGGAGAGGGGTACAGCAG